AGCGCCCTATAGGTCGTGCGGGCGCCGGGCCAAGAGGATGGGCTGGGAAAGACATTTCCCCCCGCCCGTTTCCAGGCCGGCGCTATCTGCAGCGCCAATCTGCTGCCCCGCTTTATCTCGCCGGCAGGGTTCCCAGCAGCGCCTCCCGCTGCGCACTTCCTGCCAGGGGCCCGCGTTACAGGAATCGGCGGAGCTCAGGGCGCGTGTGCGAGGAGCCCACACCCCGGCCTGCACCCGGAGGGGGCCAGCGAGGCTGGGGTATGGCGAGGCAGCCGCCCCCACCGCAAACCTGCCCAGTGTCCTCCGCTGCTCTGGGAAGCGGCAAATAGGTGACTCAAACAGGCCAGGGAAGGGGATATCCTGGGGACCCCAGACCTTCCCCCACGGAAAATCTGGAAAAGCCGAGGCAGGACCGGCACCTGTCCCTCACCTGCTCCTGGCCTCCCCCTGCACGGGGACACAGGCCCTCCACCGCCTGAGCCCCACATCGCTCCCTTGCTCCCTGACGCCCACAGCAGCGTCCCTGCTGCCCTGGGATCCCGGGGTCAGGGAGATTGGGCCCTGTGCCCCCCCCCCTCAGTCATTCAGCTGGAATCACCGAGCACTGTGGGCTGGGCACGCAGAACACCCCATGGGCCGAGGGCATCCTAGCCCCTGCCGGGAACCCTTGCGGGCAGTGGGATGTTAGGCAACCACAGAGGGGGCCACCGCCCTCTCCTGCTGGGCTGGGTTCAGGGGCGCTTCCTGGAAAAGGGGTGTCTCAGCTAAGACCTGAAGACTGAGGTGGTAACCAGAGACACCTGCCCATGGTTGGGAGGTTTACTGGCAGAGGAACCGGCAGGTGCAAAGGTCTGGGGGTGAGAGAGAGGTCAGTGATCCTGGGGAGCAGAAATGTCTCAAGTGGGGTACAGTGTGGTGAGAGGCAGGCAGCTGCGAGGGTGAAGGTGCAGAGGTCGGAGGCGCTGCATCCCTGGGCCGGGTCAGGAGCCCAAGGTGGCCTGGCCGAGGGCAGCGGCCATGGGGGAACAGGGGCACCCGATGTGTGGGCTGGGGCAGGACTTTGTGGAGGCAGATGACCCCACGACCTCCAGGGATGGGCGCTGGTGAGGGAGCCGCACTCTCCTGAGAAGAGGGGGAGGGAAGGGGTCAGCTCAGTGACCAGGGGAGTGGGGAAGGGACAAGTTCCATGCGCTGCACAAGGGACTCTGGCGTCTCCATCCAGCTGGGAGCTGGGGACTGTCCCCAGCTTACCAACAGGATGACTCAGGTCTGACATAGCCAGGGACACATACGAACCCATGCACACATACATACATATATATACAGACATGGGCACATGCACACAGCCCACACAGCCCACACACCCACCCCCACAAGCACATGTACACAGCAACCCTCAAACATACATGTATATACATGTGCACACAAGTAAATGAGTTATATGTACTTGTGCACACGTAAATGAGCTGACATGCACGGGCACACATACACAGTCACATATTCACACACATGCAGACGCACAAGCCTAGACAACCCCCAAGACCAAGCCATGGTCAGAGGGTCTTCCCTCATGACAAGGCCTCAGAAACGTGCCTCATTGCCCCAGGGGGAGGGCCCCTGCCTTTCTCCCACCCTTTCTGCTCCCTCCACACCCGCACTGGGGCAAGGCTGGGCTGGCCCAGGTGTCCTGGACCAGGTAGGAGGTGACAAGCAGCCACAGGGGCAGAAGGAATCTCTGCGGGGCCCCAGCTTCCCTCAGGAGGGGTCAGCTCTCTGGGGAGACAGCTTGGCTGTGGGAGGAGAAAGGCCTGGATTGGCGACAGGCTGTGTTACTTTGGTGGCGGTCCCAGAATGCCCTAGCCCCCTCCCCCTCCCCCAGGCTGCCCCAGGAGTAACAGGGGGCTGTGCAAACTGTGATGTGCCTGCAAGCAGAAGGCATTCTGTGGTTCTGCCGTGGCTGAGAGGTGCCTGTGGACCCAGCTGTCTGTCCCCTTTCTCCCCTGAGAGCCACCATCACTGCCCCAGCCCCTCCCTTCCTTCCCACAGAGGCCTCTGCTCCCCACCCCCCACTTCCCAGCAGAAGGCCTGGAGCCAGACTGAGATAAGGGGCTTGTTTTCTAAGGGCCTGTAATTCCATGGAGGTTTCAGGTCAGGGCCAGAGGGGCACTGGGTTGGGGGAGGGAACAAAGAGCCTTTCCTTTAGATGGGGGTCCTTGGGACCACAGACCCCACAGGGACGTGGATTTCCCCCCTTTCAGAATAACCTTGCCAGGCGCGGGAGAGGTAGGGAGCTCCAGGGAGGCTGCCAGTCCCTGGAAGTAGCTGTTGGGCTCCATCTCCACCCCGGCTCATTTCTCCATCCAGGGCCAGCTTTTCAGGGCCTCAAATGCTCCAGCTACCCCGAGCCTTTGCCCATGCTGTTCCCTCAGCCTGGAGCACTGTTCCCCATGCTTCGTCTGATTAAGGCTCTGCTTTGTCTTCTGCACTCAGCCCAGGAAGCCTGTCCTGATGCCTTGGCCAGGCCCGTTGCAGCTTCCCCCAGGGCTGACATCCTTCCTCTAGGTGACCCTCTCTTGGGCAGCACCCTGGTCCCACCCCAAGGACCTGAGCTCAGAGGGCAGGCTGCTCTGGCTCTCCTTTGTCCCAGGCTGACCTGGAGCAGGCACATGGCAGAGCTCTGACGAAGGCCGGTGCCTAAGGATGAGTGTCCTCTTTGCGAGGGGTGCCTTGCCCGGAGCTGCGGCCCTCTGGGGCTGACTTTCTCCCATGGGGGACATCTGTGGCTCGCACCCCAGGAAAAGGGGCGGCCAAGTGGGACTGGGCTCTGGGAGGGAGGCCTGTCCCCCCATCGTGAGTGGTGCCCGTCACTGCCCCTCAAGGGCAGGGGTAAGGAGGAGGGGCTCTCTGTGCATTCCTCTAACTCTGCCTCCCATTATGCCCATGAAGCCAGGCGCTCTGCCTGGCTGCGCCATCCCTGTGTCCCTCTGCCTGGCACCTGGACAACGCCGGGCACGCAGCAGGTGCTCAACAAACCTGTTCGAACTACAACTCCCAGCACGCCCCGCTCGCGCGATACTTGCCGCAAGGGAGCCCAAACTACAACTCCCAGCATGCCGTGGGGCCCGGCTCTGGCGGGGTCGGTGGGGTCGGAAGCCTG